CTGGGATTACAGGCACGCACCACCATGCCCAGCTAATTTTTTGTAGTTTTAGTAGAGACAGGGTTTCACCATGTTGACCAGGATGGTTTCGATCTCTTGACCTCGTGATCCACCCGCCTCGGCCTCCCACAGTGCTGGGATTACAGGCTTGAGCCACCGCGCCCGGCCTACAGTTTCATTTTCTGATCCATAGTAGACATCAAAGTTGTGTGAGTGAATCAGAGGAAGAATACTAAACTCCTAGTCTTAGGATCAGAAGTCTGTCACTTATATTACGTTGGAGAAGTTCCTTATCTCGTCCTCTTCTTTTTAATGGGAATCCTAATACCTATATAACAGAGCCCTTGTGAGCATTAAATGATGTAAATATTTGACAGCACTCACTAAGTATAGGTTGTGCTTACATATTTATCTAAATTTAGGTCATTTTCAGATTTGGAATGGATTGTGTTCTAAAATTGCTACTGTATTACAATTTAAACTTTGTACTAAGAATGACTTGATTGGGAATGGTCATTGTATTCTGCAGATACCTATACTGGTGAATTCTCCATCCTGTTCAGGTTTCCTTTGCCCACAAATGTAAAAGCATTGTTTTATTTTATTTTAATTTTTTTGCAGGTTTGCGTGCATCCCCACAATGTTCTGTCCGATGTGGTGAAGTATACCCTGTGGTTAATGGAGTGTTCTCATGCTTCAGGATGCTGTCATGCTACCATGTTTTTTTCAATTTGCTTCTCATTCCGGGCTGTCTTGGAGCTCTTTGACCGCTATGATGGTCTTCGTCGTCTGGTGAACTTGGTGAGGTTCTTTCAGTGCTTTTCTCACTAGGATTAAAAGTCCTGCTTGTCTTGGCTGCCCTTCAACAGCACACCTTTGAAGAAAGGAAGCTTCTGATTAGAGGAGTTTTCCTGCTATTCTTTTTGTGAAGTCTCTTTTTCCCCTTCATTCATAAATTTCTTTTTTTCTTTAGTAGTTAGAGGACACTGTGCCATTGTAGACTTGCCTTGGATATAGTAATCTTATAAGGGGAGTTGGTGGTTGATGATCTTGATCTTCCTAAAAGCAATAGTTTTATGCCTGTATATTTTTCAATATGATTAAAAGCTTGTTCATTTTTTGGTATGTGTTTAATGTTTTGCTTTCATATAGCTACTGTTAGCATGTTATATACATAGATATACGTAAATATGCTTTGATATTTGTCAGTCTTGTTTTTTTTTTTTTTTTTTTTTTTTTTTTTTTTTTAATCTTGTTAAGCATAAAAGTTTACTGATACATAAGCAGAATATGTATGGAAAGGAAAAAAGTTTACTAAAATATTTTCTTATTTTGAAAATCTTTTTATTTAACTCTTACTGCCTTATCTCTTTTGCCCCAATATTTTGCATCTTAATAGATCAGTACTTTGGAGATTCTAAATTTGGAAGATCAGGGTGCACTTCTGAGTGATGATGAAATATTTGCTAGCCGCCAAACTGGGAAACATACCTGCATGGCCTTGCGCAAATACTTTGAGGCTCACCTGGCCATTAAATTGGAGGAAGTTAAGCAGTCACTTCAGAGGACTGAGGGTGGCATTCTTGTCCACCCGCAACCCCCGTACAAGGTGAGAGGACCTTGCCTTGAAAGGGAAAATTCTCTTAGCCCTCTCTGTAGCATCTCAGTCCAAACTCACATTCAGATCAGTGTAATCTCTGTGCTGTGTTCATTGTTGGAAAATACTTCCCTGTATGAATGCAGAACAATTGAAAAATGGATATAATAGGTGATTTTCAGGGAATTGTTTTGCTTTCAGTTGTAAGTTGCTGGGTTACTAAAACTAAAAGATTAACTGAAGTGTGTATAAAAATTCCTTCTTTTTTTCTTATTGAAATAGTCTCCCTCTGTCACCCAGGCTGGAGTGCAGTGATGTGACCATAGCTCACTGTAACATTAACCTCCTAGGCTCAAGTGATCCTCCCACCTCAGCCTCCTTAGTAGCTAGGTGACTGTAGGCATACACCACCACACCCAGCTAACTTTTAATTTTTTGTGTGTGGAGACTCCTGGGCTCAAGCAGTCCTCCCACCTTGACCTCCCAAAGTGGCTAGGATTCTACGTGTGAGCCACTGCACCTGGCAAAGAGTTTTTTGTTTTTTTTGTTTTTCTTTTTTAAATGAAAAGTACTAGATGATTTGCCTTCTGTGCAGAATTTCTTGTGTGAAAATATGTGTTTATAAATCCACTTCTCTGTCATTTTGGAATTCGATATGTTTTGGGATAAAGATGAGTTAGCTGCATGTTTTTTAAAAAATCACAAACTGATCTCTTGAGGCCAGTAGCCTGAGACCAACCTGGGCAACACAGTGAGACCTTGTCTTTACATAAAGTTTAAAAAATTGGCTGGGCCCTGGGGTGTGCATCTGTAGTTCAAGCTACTTGAGAGGCAGAGGTGGGAGGATCATTTCAACCCAGGAGTTAAAGGCTGCAGTGAGCTATGATGATACCACTGCACTCCAGTCTGGGTGACAGAGCAGAGACTGTCTCAATAAAAAAAAAAAGGCATAGCAGTGGGCCTGTGGCAGCAACTTGGGAGGCTGAGGTGGGAGAATCACTTGGGTCCAGGAGTTTGAGGCTACATGTGATCATGCTGTGGCACTCCAGTCTGGGCAACAGAGTGAGACCCTGTCTCAAGAAAAAAAAAAGATCACAAAGTGAAAAGAAATCAGTCACATGATGGTTCTTTCTCTTGAGCTGTAACTTATATGCACAAAGGAAACTTTTGTTACCTTTTTGGGCAAATTGTATTGTGAGTTTAGTTATAAATAAGATAAAAGATTAAGCAATATATGGTCATTATTTCACATATGGGCTTTTGACTCAAGAATTGTGGAATTTGAAAGGTATTTTTACTTACTTTATTATTTAAACCTCAGTCAAGCATGGTGGCTCATACCTGTAATTGTAGCACTTTGGGAGGCTGAGGTGGGAGGATTTCTTAAGTCTAGGAGTTCAGGGCTACAGTGAGCTATGATCATGCCACCACATTCCAGCTTGGGCAACAAAGTGAGATGCTGTCTCTACGAAAAATAAAATAATTTGCTCTGCATGGTGGCACACACCTGTGGTTCTAGCTACGTGGGAGGCTGAGACAGGAGGATGGCTTGAGCTTGCGAGATTGAGGCTGCAGTGAGCTGTGATCAAGCCACTGCTCTCCAGCCTGGGCAACAAAGTGAGACCCTGTCTCTAAATAAATAAGTAAATAAAATAAAATCTCTTGGCCAGTGAGCTATGCTTAAGAAGGTAGTAGGTAGACGTAGAGTTATGTATAATAATAATATGTATCTCTCCTTATAGGCATGTTCGTATACTCATGAACAGATTGTGGAAATGATGGAATTTTTGATAGAATATGGCCCAGCGCAACTGTATTGGGAACCAGCTGAAGTCTTCCTCAAACTTTCTTGTGTGCAACTCTTATTGCAGCTTATTTCTATTGCCTGCAATTGGAAGACCTATTATGCAAGGTGGGACCAGAGAGAGATTTCAAATGGAGTTTGATGCACCTTTTTACTAAAGTTGATGTTGGTTTGCACATGGCATATGCTTAGCAAACATTTGTTGAATTAAAATTTTGAACTTGAATCTGAGAAATTAAGCATGAAAATATGATTTTAATTTATAGCATGCTTATTTATATATACCATCTTGGTGATTGTAAATATTGAATAATAGGCAAGGATCAGCATCTGTACTGTCAAAGAAGATACATGATTTACATAGCCACAGCTGTAGAGCTGGAGTTAGTCTTGTCTTGAGGCTGGAATCCAGGATTCTTCAGTACTTAGACTTTAAGTGTCTTGCTACTATTTGGCAGTCATGTATAACGTTTATATTACGTTCATATAAAATTGTCCTTTTAGGCCAGATGTGGTGGCTCATGCCTGTAGTCCCAGCACTTTGGGAGGCTGAGGCAGGCAGATCATGAGGTCAGGAGATCAAGACCATCCTGGCTAACATAGTGAAACCCTATCTCTACTAAAAATACACACACACACACACACACACACACACACACACACACACACTCGGCCGAGTGTTGTGGCCCATGCCTGTAGTCACACACACACACACACACACACTCTCACACACTTAGCCGAGTGTGGTGGCACATGCCTGTAGTGCCAGCTACTCGGGAGGCTGAGGCAGGAGAATGGCTTGAACCAGGGAGGTGGAGGTTGCAGTGAGCCAAGATGATGCCACTGTACTCCAGTCTAGGTGACAGAGCAAGACTGTCTCAAAAAAAAAAAAAAAATGTCCTTTTACTCTTGGAATTCAACACACTGTTAGGATTTTCACAAATTAGTTGAAGGCAGAGCAGGACAAGGCCCAGAAAAGGGTGGCTGTTGTAATCAGGAAACTGGATGGGTTTTATTTGAAGATAATGTAAAAAATAAAACTTCGTTTTGAAAAATATGGGGTCTTAAGATAGTAACGAAGTTTATAAACAGAGTGCTTGACCTTCTTTTCCTGTTCACTCATTGCCATAAAGATAAGAGAGGGACTTACTTATTTAGGGAGAATATAGCTTGTTTGTTAAATCCCAGGATTTAAATATAGTGAGGTACTCTTGGAGCAGATGTTACTAAACTTTTTGGTTTCAGGATACCTTTACCATATTAATAATTACTGAGAACTCTAAAGGACTTTTGTTTTTGTGTTGAATCTATTGATGTTTACTGTATTAGAAATTAAAAATGTAAAAACATTTATGTGTTAAAAAAGTGTGGGCCATGTGTGATGGTGACTCCGCCTGTAATATCAGCACTTTGGAAGGATGAATTGGGCTGATCATTTGAGGTCTGGAGTTTGATACCAGCCTGGGCAATATGGTGAAACCCCGTCTCTACTGAAAATAAAAAAATTGGCCGGGCCTGGTGGCTCATGTCTGCAATCCCAGCACTTTGGGAGGCTGAAGTGGGTGGATCACAAGGTCAGGAGTTCAAGACCAGCCTGGCCAATATGGTAAAACCCTGTCTCTACTAAAAATACAAAGAAATTAGCTGGATGTGGTGGCGCATGCCTGTGATCCCAGCTACTCAGGAGGCTAAGGCAGGAGAATCACTTGAACCTAAGAGGCGGAGGTTGCAGTGAGCTGAGATCGTGCCACTGCACTCCAGCCTGGGCAACAGAGCAGGATGTTGTCTCAAAAAAAAAAAAAGATACAAAAATTAACTGGGTGTGTTGGTGTCTGCCTGTAGTCTCAGCTACGAGGGAGCTCAGTTGGAGGATTGCTTGAGCCCGGGAGATGGAGGATGCAGTGAGCCAAGATTGTGCCACTGCACTCCAGCCTTGGCCACAGAGGGAGACTCTGTCTCAAAAAAAAAAAGATGATGACAGCTCACAAGATAACCAGGAAGGGTATAAATACATTTTTTTTTTTTTTGAGACGGAGTTTCGCTCTTGTTACCCAGGCTGGAGTGCAATGGCGCAATCTTGGCTCACCGCAACCTCCGCCTCCTGGGTTCAGGCAATTCTCCTGCCTCAGCCTCCTGAGTAGCTGGGATTACAGGCATGCGCCACCATGCCCAGCTAATTTTTTGTATTTTTAGTAGAGACGGGGTTTCACCATGCTGACCAGGATGGTCTCGATCTCTTGACCTCGTGATCCACCCACCTCGGCCTCCCAAAGTGCTGGGATTACAGGCTTGAGCCACCGTGCCTGGCTATAAATACATATTTTAACTGGTACGTCTGTATATATTTTTTGTTGGCTTTGGAGACAGTCCCAGCTGGAGTGAAATGTCACGATTGTGGCTTACTCCAGCCTCCACCTCCCAGGTTCAAGTGATTTCTCATAGCTTAGCCTCTGAAGTACCAGGGATTACAGGCGTGCACCACCAAGCCCACCTAATTTTTGTATTTTTAGTAGAGACACGGGGTTTTGCCATGTTGGCCAGGCTAGTCTCGAGCTCCTGGCCTTGAGTGATCTGCCCACCGCAGCCTCTCAAACTGCTGGAATTATAGGTGTGAAACACTGTCTGGCCTGCATTTGGATTATTAAAAAAAAAAAAAATCCTTGATTTTAAAAGTTTATTTTTATAAAAGTTATCAAATGTTTCTGTTTTACAGTATGCAGAATCTTTTAAAGAGAAAAGAATATTACTCTTAGCCACTGTTAAATTCCTTCCAGTCTTTTTAATATAATATTTGTAAATACACATAATTGATATTAAAGTTTATAATCAAATTCACATTTTTAATGACTATTCTCAATATATAGAAAGGTACGGAGAATAGTATAACAACTGCTCCATCATTAACCAGGATTGGCGTGTTGTTGTATTTGTTTTCCTTCGATGCTTTTTCTGCCTCCCTAGAGTGACCCATCTTCTGAATTTGAACCATATTCTCCCCACTCATGTTTTTATACTATATGTATCTGTGTTCATAAACAATAACATAGTACTGCTTTGCATGGTTTAAAATTATGTATTTTCCTAAATTCATCTTTTGCAGCTTGCTTTTTTTACTCTTATATTCTTGAGATTTCTATATGTTGATATTTATTTAAAATGCTGTTATTTCTATACTGCACTTTATTCTGCCATTGATGGCTAATTTAGTGTTTTTGTTTGATAGTTTATTTGCTATTAAATGGTATCATGAGCCTCCTTTTGGAGGCTCTCTTGAGGATATGATGTCTAGCATCTGGTTTGTCGGGTGTCTGTGTTTTTACCTTTATTGGGTATTGCCAAATTGCTTCTAAAAATGTTCATACCATTTTCATCCCCCAGCAACATACAGGATTTTTCATTTCTCTACTTTTTTTTTTTTTTTTTTGAGACGGAGTCTTGCTCTGTCACCCAAGCTGGAGTGCAGTGGTGCAATCTCAGCTTACTGCAACCTCCACCTCCTGGGTTCAAGTGATTCTCCTGCCTCAGCCTTCTGAGTAACTGGGACTACAGGCATGAGCCACCACGTCTGGCTAATTTTTATACTTTTTTATTTTTGTATTTTTTGTTGTTGTATTTTTTTTATTTTTGCAGAGACAGGGTTTTACCATATTGGCCAGGCTGGTCTTGAACTCCTAACCTCATGATCTGCCCACCTTGGCCTCCCAAAGTGCTGGCATTATAGGCGTAAGCTGCCATACCCAGCCTTTTTTTTCTTTTTAATTACGAAAGACATCCAACATTTCTCTAGTTTCTTGCCAGTACTTGGTATTTTCAGATTTTTAATTTTATATCTTTCATTTTTAATATAATTAATACTATATTTTGAACCCTTTCCTTCATTCTTTAGGGTTATTTGAAAATGATTGTCGGCCAGGCGTGGTGGCTCACGCTTGTAATCCCAGCACTTTGGGAGGCCGAGGCGGGCGGATCACCTGAGGTCAGGAGTTCGAGACCAGCCTGACCAACATGGAGAAACCCCGTCTCTACTAAAAATACAAAAAATTAGCCAGGTGTGGTGGTGCTTGCCTGTAATCCCAGCTACACAGGAGGCTGAGGCAGCAGAATCGCTTGAACCTGGGAGGTGGTGATTGCAGTGAGCTGAAATCATGCCATTACATTAAAAAGAAAATGATTGTCAATGGCTATAGTTTATGAGTGTACTATACTGTACCACATGTGTTGCTCTTGTCTATGTGGGTTTTCTCATTCTTTCGCTACTTTAATAATGTGGCTAATGGACATCTTAATACATAAATGCTTCTGATTATTATCATTATTATTATTTTTATTTTTTTGAGACAGAGTCTTCTGCGTTGCCCAGGCTGGAGTGCAGTGGTACAACCTTGGCTCACTGCAACCTCTGCCTCCCGGGTTCAAGCAGTTTTCTGTGCCTTAGCCTCCCAAGTAGTTGGGATTACAGGTGCCCACCACCATGCCTGGCTGGTTTTTGCATTTTTTAATAGATACGGAGTTTTGCCGTGTTGGCCAGGCTGGTCTTGAACTTCTGACCTCAGCTGATCCCCCTGCCTCAGCCTCTGAAAGTGTTGGGATTACAGGTGTGAACCACCGCACCTGGCCTGATTATTTCTTTAGGACAGATTGTTAGAGGTGAAATTTCTACTTAGGACAAGGTTTATGAACATTTTAAGAATCTTGTTTCATATTTCTAGATTACTTTCTTTTTTTCCTTTTTTTGTTTTTCAAGACAGGCTCGTACTCTGTTACCCAGGCTGGAAGGCAGTGGTATAATCATGGCTCACTGCAACTTCAACTTCCTGGGCACAGGTTATCCTCCCACCTCAGCCTCCTGAGAAGCTGGGACTACAGGCACATGCCACCACACCTGGCTGATTTTTAAATTTTTTTTTTTTTTTT